ACGGGAAATAATGATACAGTTTGTTTACTGGATCTATAAAATATAATTGGTTTTGACTATAGAACAGAAATCACTTCTGCTGCTAGATCTATATGTTGTTTACTTTGCAAATCAATTCTTGCATTGCCTTTTAAAAATACAATTAATAAAAAACAAAACAAAACACAACCCCCCCACACAAAAACAACATATAAAGGTATAACTGATTCAGACAGAAGGTACCTAAATCCACAAGAAATCCATTTTCTTTGTGTCTTATATTTTTTTTTTGAAGAGTTAGAAGTGAAATCACAGCCAAATAAAGTAGACCACTACAGTCAAGCCAGAGATGTTTAGAAAGTAATATGAGGACTAAAATGCAGTGTATTCTCAAAAATATCTTCAAAATTCCTAGATAAACTTGCATTTTGTAATACCAGCATGTTTGTACAATGTGCATAAATCATTTTAAGTTTAATGCAACAAAAATAAAGCTCTGATGTTGTGCCCTTAGCCTTAACTGAAAAACTCCCCTCAAATGTCAGATGTAAAAATGTAATTTTTATTTTATAAAAAAACATTTTATTTACAGTTACTTAATACAAAATATAAAAGTTCTGTTTAGAATGTAACTAGAAGACCTCCAGTTTGCTTAGTGCTTATTATAAAGCCAATAAATATGRTTTTGTTTAAGAAGAACAAACTGTACCAGCACACACATACACTGAAAGCTTTTATKTAAAGAATCACAACCTTTTGTCTTAGAAATGTCTCAAAAAATGTGTTTGGAGCTAGGTCTTGATCTGCTTCCAGACAACTATCTGTGGCAGACATATAGCTGAGAGACTAGATATGTTTGCCCTCTCACCTGCCCTCTCACCTGCCAGAACAACCAAGTGGTCTTACTAAAAGAATCTCATACAAAAGAGATTTTCTTGTAATTAAGAGAAATATGTAAAAGTATAGGACAGGGAACTTTGTATCAAGATTTAGATGAAAGCAGTCAAATCAACAAAACAAAAGAAGTCAAATCCTAGCTCCATAACTGCAGAGGGAGCCAAGGGGTGCTCTGTGATGCTACAGGTCCTCTCTATCCATTTGCACCAGGCTATGGGGAAGGGATGGAGAAGGCTTGCACAGTGTGTGGGAAGGAACTTGGAAATCCATCAGGAACTTGGGAAAACACCAGGATCACTGTTTGTGTCCCAGCTCCATGACAATACGCTTATCTCCACATGCCTTTCACTTCATTCTCTCTAAGGCTCAATGGAAAGTACCCCCCATATGATAGAGTACCTTTGCAGAAAACTTGAACAGAATGTGGTGAGATTTTCAGGAGTCTAACTGAAAGTGGGAAAGAGAGGAAGGCTATTTTACTAGATGTATGATTTTTGAGGTGAAGGCAGGAATCTGAGATTTAGTTTCTATGAATTAATCTTTGCTCATGTTTTATTGGAATACTAGTTTCATCTTCCTTTTGTAGCCCCTAGCTCACCCTTAGTTTAAGGGTCAGTCAAAGAATACTAATATGTAGAAGAAATGTGGATGACTAGACTTGAAAGTCCTTTTTATTTATTGGGTTCCTAGTGACTAACCTTAGAAATAAGTTTCCTTTTTTGCAGATGGTCTATAGTTTAAGGTCTGAAATAAGATCACAAATTCTAAGTAATGGTCTAAGTTATTAATATCTGAATTTACAATCTTGTTTCTGCTATATCTTTTTCCCTAGAGTAGKCTGCCTGTACTAAAATTTACAATAGAAATGTTGCAAAAATAATCAATGACAAGTTGTAGGCTTCATCTGYCAAGTATGTACTAATCAAGGATTTCTTATATTACCTTACAATAGATTGCTCTTTAAGGCTCTCCATTTTTTTTTCTCAGAATTCAGAAAATGTCAGATAAAGCAAAACCCACATTGCCACAGTCATACTGCCATACACTGCCATACATACTCTGCCACACACTGCCATACATACCAGCAAAATAGGTATGCTTCAGAAAATTTAATTATCAAAATACTAATAATTTATTAGACCCACTCACAGAAAAGTGTTTCCAAAGAGACACTATTCTCAGCAARGAAAGCAAATAAAACCAGGTTTTTATTGTACTACCACATTTTAACTATGAGTGATGGTTTCCTCTCCAAATAAGCACAACTTATTTTTGCTCTCTGATATTTTTTTCTTTTCCTTTGTTCTTTCATTAGTTCTCTCCAATATTCCACCTCAAGGCAAGACCATTATCAAAACACAGGCATCAGAAATGCATTGGAAAAAAAAAACTCTGGTGGTTGTTTGACATTATAATGCCTTGCCAGGTTTCATCAGTCATGCTATGTCACACAAAGTAATTCAATCTGACTGACGCTACTCACAGGGACTCATCACCTTTCATGTGTTTGTAGAAGACTTTAAAAGTATCACACAGTCTTTGGACAGAATAACAAAACCTGCTATGTGAAAGGAGGGTTTTATTATTTTGTTTTTCCACCAAGATAGGATTTTTTTTGACCTCTCCCTTGAGTAGTTTTCTTTTTTTTTTTTTTTTTAAGTTTTCTGGAGTCTGCGTGTATCTCACAACTTTCAATTTCCTCCTGGAATCTAGGTTCAATATTTTCTTCTTTAGACTGTAGTCAATAATAAAGCATAGATGGCTTATGGATGGCTTTACTATTTGGTTGGAGCTTAGTGCATATGCTGCAAAAAGCGTTTCAGGGAAGAAATCTTGACTGGARGATTTTCTATGTAACACTTCTAGAAAAGTTTGTTATTTTAGAAATAATGTTTTTTCCTCATTATGAAGAAAAATAAGTTTCTTAAGAGATGATGGAAGGGTTAAACTAAGGGAGGCCCTAGGCATTTAAAAAATAACATTTTGATGCAAAAATCAAATTAAAATTAAAGAAAAAAGACTCATAAGGCTCAAATTTATGGTGGCTGTTTTCCCTTGTGATATATTGATTACTGTCTGCATATTTAATTTTCTTTCTTATTTATTTTTTGTTTTTTCATGAAAATGTTTTGATTTTTTTTCCTTTAGTCCTGAAATAATTTATCTATTTCACTGAAAGTCTTTTTACTTAAATGTGATCCCAAATCTCTCTTGTTTACTTTTCATCTTAGTCACTGAACAAAAATCAATTACTTGTACAAACAACTCAAGTAGTGAGATTCCCTGATGGAAGTCAACAGGTATGCAATAATCCCTGAGAGTCAGATAAAGATATCAAAGCAGCATTAACTTAGATTTTCCTAGTCTTTTTTTTTTTTTTTTCCCTTTGGTGCTTAGTATTAAAATATATACTATCAAGATTCTTTTCTAGAATTAAGATGAAAATCCTGTTCTTTTCACAAGGAAGAATCCTATATCCCATATTAAACACCATCAAAACTATTTCCATTGGTTCATCTGCTTTCTAATTCCTCTGAAGTCAACAGGTACTAAAGCTACTCAGAAGTTAAATAGAGCTGAGYGAGGCTTTGCTTTCCAAGTCTGATAAAAGAAAAAATATACTGTGAAATCTACAAAACATGATTAGATTTCCTAATGGCAGCAAATTTAATCCTCAATGCCTTTTGCAAAATGCTTATTTTGTAATTTATTATAGATTATTTGAAATCTGCTGTGTCAATTGTACATCCAAGATTAAGCCCTGCCTAGTACTTAACATTCTGACTGAATTTGAATGCTAACAGGGTTCAGTATGATTCTCTTTCTTCTTCTCCCTCTCTTACAACTAATTCWGTAAATAGATGAAGCTTATAATATTACACTGAATATCAAGGCATCATTAAACTGCTGGGACGAAATTCTTTAGCAGTATTAAAAAAGATTGGTGGTCTAAAGAAGATAAACAGAGATCACATACAAATTGAAGAGGAAGAATAGCAACAATATTTTTTTTTCTGAATGTTATGAAGAAAATTCATACCTTGAACTTACATTACCGGGCCTAGTTAGAACTGGGTATAAGAGAATACTTCAATACCTGAATAAGAGAATAGCTAAGACTATTTTAATACTGTCTGGTGTTACATTGAAGTAGAACTACCTAATAACTTTCTAAAAAGGTGAATACTTGCTATCAATACATATCAGTTTTGTGAAACAATTGAGGTATCTCTTATCTTCATCATCACAAACCAGCATCATCCAGATGCTGATTCTATACAACTGAACTTCAGAAATAGTATATTCAGATTTCAAACTCTTTAGTTCCTGCACCTCTAGACACAGACTAACTTAAAGCTAGTTATTCTTGACTGGTGAAACAAGTTTGCTTCAGACTTTGGATATTATTCTAGATTATGCCTGGATAGCTCAGGTCTAGAACAAGTTCAGGCAAGATTTTATAAAGCAGTTGAAGTTAAAGTATTTCCTAACATAAATCGAGGCAACTGATATTTTATAAGCTAACATTTTTTGAATATCAAGGTTACTGATACAATTTTTTTTTCATTCTATAGTGACAGTAAAATAACAGATTTTTTTTAATTATTATTATTCTTTTTAATACATGTTCAGGTGAAGAAATGTTTTTAGCTTGCTACATTCATGCAAAGTTAAGCAGACTAAATACTCTTAACTCACTAGAAACAAGACTTGATATTGTGCATATAGCACAACCAAAGGTCATAATATATAATGGTAACTATAATCATTATGAAGGGGCATTGCCTAAGCAAATGGCATAGACACCACAAAGCAAGGTTTAATTATTATTATTAATAATGACCTGTAAAATAAATAATCACTGTGGTAAAAGTAATTTATACCACAGTTGATCCTGCTGAGTCTGATTTCAAATTTGCCTACAGAGGAACACTTCTGTTGTATTATGAAATCTACTTTGGTTGGTCAGAGAATAACTACTGATATTTTTCCTTTTACAGTGAAAAAATCATGGAAGTCGGAKAGATGAACTAAGGCTAGTAAACAGGCTCAGGATTAGCTGTCTCTAAGGCTATCAAAAACATAGAATTAGTAACTGTTTAGAAACCTTATCATTGCTGTACCTGTTACTTTGAGTCTGTCAGCTCCAATGACAATCTCATCTTCATCTGCAGAAAACAGTACTTTCCCACCTTCACTTGCTCTCACTTCAAATCTCTTACACTGGGCCTCCACAGCATCAGCTCCTGAAATGAAGAGAATGGTTCATCTAATATATTTTATAAAAAAATATAAGGACTCATCAACATGCAAAGAATGTCTAAAACAGACCAAATGAAGCAGGTTTTTATAAAATGGTTGACTTTATTATCCAAAATTATTATTATCCAAAATTATTATTAGATACAAATTATCTATTGGATAATTTGTATTATAAAATATTCTTAAGTATACTTACAGTGTAACTATTTCACTACTGCAGAATAGAAGCTAAAATCACTATAAAAAACATAGTTCAGTGCGAAGAGGGGAAGGCAACATAAGAATTTAGAATGTGCTTAAACTCTGAGCTCTTAAAATGCCTGTTTGGGCAGGCTTCCTGTTTTTGTGGGTTTTTTTTCCTGCTTAAATGGCAAATTCTTGACAGTGGGGGAATACAACACATTAGCCTATACCATGAAGATCATTTAACAACTCAATATGGCAGAAAGGCGTTTTTAGAAGAAATTAYTCAGTTCTGTTTTGTTGAATATCTGGCTGGCAAAAAGAATTAAAAAAGGAGTTGAAATATCATATGCTATCTCACATTTTATGAAACCTAACTAAAACATCTCAAGGCACCAAATTCTTAAATTAATTCTGAGATTCAACAGATCTATGGTTTAGCATATGATAGCACAGTTTAGAAAATTTGCAAATATCAAACCCCTCTGAAATTTACTGAACTTTTCAATTTACAGATCTTATCCATATTCCCATGTTTTGTCATTTAAATCCTATGTTACCATTTTTTATTTTGTACATGAAGGAAAGCAGAACTCTATGAAAATGGCACTGAAAAGCAACCGTGTACTGTGTAACTAGTTGCAAGGCACACCTTACACAGATTCACAGAATATTTAAGGTCGGAAGGGACCTCTACAGATCATCTAGTCCAACCTTCCTGCTCAAGCAGGCACACCTACAGCATGTGGCACAGGGTGGCATCCAGGCGGGTTTTGAAGACCTCCAGAGTAGGAGACTCCACAACCTCCCTGGGCAGCCTGTTCCACTGCTCTGTCACCCTAACAGTAAAGAAGTTSCTCCTCACCTGGAGACGGAACTTCTTGTGCTTCAGCTTGTGGCCATTACCCCTCGTCCTRTCGCTGGCCACCAGTGARAACAGCYTGTCCCCTTCCTCCCTGCATTCTCCCTTCCTGAACTTATACATATTAATCATATCCCCTCTCAGCCTTCTCCTCTCCAGAGAAAACAGGCCCAGCTCACTCAGCCTCTCTTCATACGAGAGATGTTCCATTCCCTTAATCATCCTGGTTGCCCTTCTCTGGACCCTCTCGAGAAGCTCCACGTCCCTCCTATACTGGGGAGCCCAGAACTGCACACAGTACTCCAGGTGCGGCCTCACCAGAGCTGAGTAGAGGGGCAGAATCACCTCCCTTGACCTGCTGGCAACACTCCTCCTGATGCAGGCCAGGATCCCATTGGCCTTCTTGGCCACGAGGGCACACTGCTCACTCATGGTTAACTTGGTGTCAACCAGGACTCCCAGGTCCCTCTCCGTGGAGGTGCTTTCCAGCAGGTCAACCCCTAGTCTGTACTGATGCCTGGGGTTATTCCTCCCCAGGTGCAGGACCCTGCACTTGTCCTTATTGAACCTCATGAGGTTCCTCTCTGCCCAACTCTCCAGCCTGTCCAGGTCCCTCTGGATGGCAGCAAAGCCCTCCGGAGTGTCGGCCACTCCACCCAGTTTGGTGTCATCTGCAAACTTGCTCAGGGTGCATTCCGTGCTCTCGTCCAGGTCATTGATAAACAAGTTGAACAGCACTGGGCCCAGCACTGACCCCTGGGGGACACCACTGGCCACAGGCCTCCAACTGGACTCGGCCCCATTTATCACCACCCTCTGAGCTCTGCCATCCAGCCAGCCCTCGATCCACCGCACCGTGCACTCGTCTAGTCCACTGTCCCGGAGCTTCCGTATGAGGATGTTATGGGAGACCTTAAGACCTTTGAGAATAGTTATTCGACAATTTTCTCATTGAATCCTAATTGGATTTCTAAAGTAGTCTTGGAATAACTCATGAATCCATATGGATAAAAATCATAGGGAAGGTATTATGGACAGAGAAATATCCTCCATTTCATTTGTACAACAGAGAAAACAGAATAAATTCTATATTGGTTTGAAATACTGCAAGAAATTGCAAATGACCGGCTTTTAAAGAATATATGATCCACTGAAAATTTATACACAGCTGTTATATGATGCTCAAAATATAATTTACAGTGACCTTCAGTAGTCATGAACAAACACTGTTCACAGTATTAAAACCAATGTGCAATCCTCTTTAGACAGTGCTATGCGAAATAGTTTTTCTATAATGCTTCTCATAGTTCAGAACGGGAAGACTCATAGAGGTTAAAAACGATCAATGCTTTCTTGTTGAATGTAAGTGCTCCCAGAAAACTTGTGACTTTGAGGGAAGATGTCAGGGATAAAAGAAAAAAAACCCAAAGTTTTTTTAACTTTATTGATGATAAAATAAGTGCTAATGTAACTCAATATACAGCATGCTACTCAGCGTGGTTGCTACTATTTAGCCATTTAATTTAAGGTGTGAGAATGATTGTGTACCACTAATATTTTGCCACTGTGTTATCCGGTGGAAAGAAAAAAAAGGCCTGGGCCTAACCTGTCAACTTGCCCTGAAAAATTGTACATGGTAGGGTTGAAAAATCAAATAGCCTTACTAACTTTGGTAATTAGAGAACCTTGTGGCTTATCTAAGACTATTTTGACATCAACAACTCTGTACAACATATAAGTTTGGGACAGTACACAAAATCACTAGCATCACATGGAAGTCCAATCTCATTTTACCAATCACTTGTCAGAATGGAAAAAAAATCTATGCACTATTAAAACATTCATTTTTGGTATCCTTTTGGAATTCAGTATTTCCTTTTTGGCTTAGAAATGTTTGCACTTCATTTTTAAAAATTTAAAACACATAATAATCATTCATATAATACAAAATTAATAAAAACAATATTCAAAAATACTTAAAATATACTCCCTTGTGGAAGATTTAGAAAAGATTGTTTTTTTTTTCTTTTTAATCACAAGTCTGATTTCATAAACTCAATATTTTTCTGGAATTGAATATTTATTTTCCTTCACAATTTTGCTTTTAAATTGCTTTTTAAACTTCATTTTATTCTAAGATTGGTCTGCAGCAGCCACTTAAATTTTCAATGTAAGTCTGAAGGAAAGGTTAAAGAAATTTAGAATTATTTATGTTATAGTCTGCCATAATAAAGTATAATTTCAGTGTAGAGAGAGAACTTTTGGTGGAAATTAGACTATATGCATATAAAAGCAGTTTATGTTTGGCAATTCCTATACTCATTTATCCCTGAAACAAAAAGAAGATGAATGTTCGATTTATGAAGGGTATTTTGCTATGGCCTTTTATCGAGACAAAAAATTATTAAGCTGTATGTTCCCAAGGGCACAAAACAAATGATTACAGGATGACCCTCAAATTGCCGTGAGATTAATCATCTCACTGGCAGTACCAATAGTAAGTAGTATTCAAAATTAGACAAATCTTATTATATTCCATGAAGGCTGTATTTTGAATTACTATTAGAAAGTGCAAGAAAGAATTCTGTTATAATTTGCAGAAAACAAATATTACTGTTTTAAAACAATCTCATTGTTTTACGCTAGGCATGATGATATAGCTGTTAAGAAGCCTGAAGCCCTTAAATACCAATCATGTTATGATCAAATATAAAGCTTAATCTCTACAATAAGGCAATAATCAAAAAATTCACAGCCTTTAAAATCACTATATATATGGTGTATATATATGCATACAGCATGATCCCTAGAGTTAAGTCCAGGTGTGGTTCTCAGCACCCAGCACCTCTGCAAGAGCAGGATTGGGACAGAGGTGTCCTGGAGGTAGGGAACATGCTGGAAATCCAGCTAAAGTTGCTGCCGTTAAATGGAGACCAAACCAAGAGGAAGGCTCAGAGCTCCGAAAGCCTGGAGCTCCTCTACAACCTGCAGGCTGGGCACAAACACACAGGTCATGCAAGGCAAGTTTCTAAGAAATATTCTCCGGTTCAAAAATCTCTGCTAAATTAAGCTAAAGGTCAGGCAGGATGTCTGTGGTACAGCAGGTAAATCAAACCAGGCACACAGAGTTCAAAGAGTGTGTCCATCATTGGCCCATCCTTTCTTCTTGAATACTCTGCTCTAAATGAACTACACAGAATTTTGAGAGATATTTGAGATTTGAGAAATTTGAGAGAAAAAAGATCTACCAAATTCGTACTTGTTATATTGCTGCAGGTAAAAGTCCACCTTTGGATACTCTCTCCCATCCCTTTACTGTATTTTGAATAATGTAACTTTTCATGAGGAGTGACATACAGAAATATAATCAGTAGTGAACATGATTGCTTCTGCTAAGAAATATTTATATTTTAGATACTCAGCATTTGTACATCCTCGATTTCATAAAATATAAAAATATCCCTAGAGCTCAGCTAGTCCGAAATAGCATTAACAGGATTAGCACTACTTTTTTATGTTAAAAGAATGGGGCTACGCCTAAGAATGGGGATACACCTTATGGTGGATCCCTTATTATTACTACATAGTTACTACTGAAATAGCTGTTAATTTATTCAAATCACTGGAGAGATTATTAATAAAAACTAATACATGCTAAATTTGTCTTTTTGATGCGGAACCAGATGTGGATATCATGGCAATGGCTGTGAAATGTAACACTGCCTACAGATCAATGAATGCTACAAAGAATGAATTCTATTTCATTACATTTTCATTTCCTATTTGAAATAAGAGTAAGCAGTTGCATAAACACATTGCACACGTATATATATTATCTGTAAATTTTTTAGCTCAGTCTCGCAGAGGAAACCCTATTGGCTACACTGAACTTCAAGCATCATCTCTGCTTGGATAATGCATATTTTAGCCTGCAGCAAG